CCAAGCACCTGTAACTCCAGCTCCAGGCAATCATGGCTGCCCAGGGCACTTGCACTCACACGCTAACATACAGAAGTGTGAATTAAACAAGAAGAATACATTTTAAAAGGAAGGAAAGGTACTGTTGAAATCTAGGTGAAGATGTGTAGGTGTGGAAGGAGGGAGTCAGGGTGCAGGACAGGGTACCCCAGAGACAGGACATGCAATCTAAAGGGATGACTTTCCCCACTGATAGAAAAGCAGACTCCCTTCTCCCCCCAAGGGCCAGCAAAGGCAGGACACAGCCTTTCCATTAAACAACATATAAAACACTCCAGAAAAAAAAAAAAAACAAACCGAAACACCCTGAATCCTGCTGTCAAGGATCTACGTGAGATTTTAGGGCTGTCCAACACCAAAAAGAAGATTTTTATATGGTGAAAAGTTATAACTCATTTCAGACTGGCTCTCTCTCCAAACCCTCCCCCATGGTGAAGAGTGGAGAATGTGGAATCCCAAGAATGGAAGATGTAGGCAGGGCTGGCTCTTTGCCTCTGGGGCAGTGGGCTGATGTCACCAGACCCCCAGAGCGGCACTGAGGGCATTCACGTTGTGTTGAAAAGCCTCACTGTGGCCCTCTGAAGGAAGGAGCTCCCATTCCCATTTTATAGAGGAGGAAGACTGAGGGTTTGGAGGGGCACAGTCCGAAGCCTGCTCTTTCTAGGCAGCAGTGTTTCCCATGGAAGACTTTATTCCAGCCTGGACATGATGAGTGACCTGCCAGTTGTTCAAGGTAGAGCGTCAGAGGATACATGCGGCGGGACAGTCAAGGCCTGTCTTGGTTTATAAAACATCCATCTATAGATCAACAACTATCTTTTTATCCATCCATCTACTCATCACTTATCTAAGTAAAGACATATAGTTTTATGTAGAGAAGCTATATGGACAGTGCTAAGTCCAGAGCAGCAAGCTCCAAACTTTCACGTACCCCCACCCACCCACTAGCTCTTTACAGTTTGGAATGTTCTCCATTATTTGGAATATTTGCTATGACCCGATACTATCAAAAGGGCTCCCCCCGCCCAGGCTCCATCATTTGCATCCTTCCTGGTGTGGCCCCACCCTTTCACTTCCTACCCACATAGGCTCCAAGGCACCCACCCACCTCAAATGCTTAGTATTTTTTTTTTATCGACAATTAAACATTCTCCGAAGAGTGGTAGCATTCACTGCCCAATCTGATAAAGGGATCACAGTGCCCGTCCTTTGGAATTTCCTTTCTCCTCCCACGTAATGAATTATTTGGTACGTTCTGAGCACATGACATTGATTCTAGATTGATAGTGTGTGAAGATTTCAAGCAAGCTAAGCGACTGTGGGAGCGCAGTTATTATAAGACCCCCTGCTCAGCTTCAGGAGACAGATCTGGGGATTAAGTCAAGGCTGCCGTTTTTTACACCGGACTTCTTTCCTCAGAAGGAAGCAGGAACGTGGACTTACGTAAAATCTGATATTTCCTTTAAACGTTGACTGAATTCTTTTTCAAAAATACTGGACAGATCAAAACACATGTTGTGAAATCCTCAAAGAATTAATAAAAAATAGTTTAAAAAATACTATAGGGGCAAACAAACAAACGCCATGAGGTGAAGCAGTGTAAGCAACACTGCGGGAAAAGTGGTCTCGGACCATAGTTCTAGTCTGACTCCCTTCAACTTCTCTGTCATAAACATAGCCCATGCCCCTCCTGGACCTGGGCAGCCTGTGCCTCCTCCAGCATCCTGCCCACCGCACCGGGGCACCCTCAGGCATCTGCTCCAGCAGCACATCCATTGAACTCCTAATTCCAACCTTTCCCAGGGTCGCCGTGGAAACCACTCCGTGCTCCAGTGTGCATCACCCTTGCTCGCTAACACCCCTCCCACGCTCTGCAGTGGCTTCGGTCTCCCCACGTTGAAATCTGTCTGTTAGATTGCACATTGGAAGAAAGAAAAGCAAAAAAAAAAAAAAAAAAAAGGATTTTGTTGCTGCTGCCAGTTATGGCTTTGGGTGAGTCTGGGACATCGTGGCCATCTTCAGCCTTCTCTGTGCCCCAAGGCTTTGCATGCCGTCTAGACTCTCTTCTTGGGTCCTATCCAGCCCTGTGGACAGCTTTACCTGTGGGCACCTTCATTAAACCACACATTAGACAGCTTTGAAACTCCAATTCCTCATCTCTTCTGACAGATCACAAACTGCTTCCTTAGTGGAGTGCCTAGCCCAGTGCCCATGATCAAGCAACATTTACTGGCTGTTAGGAAGCGAGGAGAAGAGAGGGAGGAAGAAAAAGACAATGAGAGAGAGGAGGAAAGAAAGAATGGGGTCACAGTCCACCAAGAAACGTGAGATATGGGCTTGCAGAGATTTAGGGCTCAGCAGTTAAGAGAAGATCCGGGTTTGCTCCCTGGTACTCCACGGTAACTCACAATAGTCTGTTACGCCAACTCAAGGGTAGCTTACATTGAGCACACACACGGTACATATATGTACATATATATGTATGTATATGCACATACATATATATTCAGGCAAAAACAATAATAAGCATACAATTTTGTTTTAAAAGAGAGCCAGCTACTAGGCTGAGATTAAAGCAGCTGTGTTGGGCTGTAGATTAATCGTCCCAGTTGTCCCTTTCCCAGTAAGGTTTCTTCACCTTCCAGCATGGCAGGAAGCTCTTGGCTTTTGGGCCCAGGAACCCCAGCATTCACTACCACAAACTCTTTGCCTCTGGTCTCCAGCCCTAGGGAAAGAGATCTTCCACCTCAGTCAGGCTCTGCTTTGGGAAGCCAGCTGCAGTTATGACAGATGGGGACAGTGGGCAAGAACCTTTCCCAGTGGCCGATGAGAAGCGAACTACAGAGGCTCAGAGCAGACTATATGCATGAAGAGCTGGCCAGATTCCCGATGCCCCGGCAGTTGTCTGTCCAGAGAGTGGGCTTTGCTGAGTTAGGACAGGCTGGGCACTCTCTCAGGAACCCCTAGAAAGGAGGCTGCATGGGTCTAGAACAACTCTGAAAGCAACACTCTTGCCTTCCCTTTCACAGGCTGGTGGAGGTCTGGCCTACTCCTCTCCTTCACCTGCTCTCTGACCTAGGCAGGATACAACCATCCTGTTCCCAGGAAACCACAGAGAGACTGGCACTGTCTGCATTCCCCAAAGCCTGGATGTCTCTCAAAACTGCTGATCCCCATGGATTCCTACCCTGGTATCAATGTGAAGAGAAACTGGTCTTCTCGTGTCAATCACTAGCCAAGTGAGGGAGGAGCAGCAGGGCAGCATAGCAGAGAATTCAGAGCCTTGGTGCATGACCTGCAAGAAAGGTGGCTGGCCTGCCTCCCTCAGACTTCATCTGGGCAGCTAGGAGAAGGGGGAGGAGGCAGAGGGGGAAGAAGGGGAACCTACCACTTCAGCATCCCTTTCCTCAACCACCTATAGGCTAACTCTAAGAGCGCCACTGTGACAGAAACAGGGTCGCTCACAGAATAGACACTTCCCACAGTTAGGAGGCTGGAAGACTGTGACCAGGGCTCCAGTCTGGGCTAGTTCTGGTGAGACCTACTTCCGGCACACAGGCTGCCAACTTCTCTCTGTATCCTCACAAAGGAGAAGAAATAAGAAAGTTCTCTGGGCGGCCTTTGATAAGGAGCAGTCCCCTTCACAAGAGCTCCACCCTCATGCTCCAACTACTTTCCGAAAGCCTGGAGCCTAACACCATCCAACTGCGGGAGAGGATTTCAAAATGAACCAGGGAGACACAAACACCCATATGGTGGCATGAAGCCATATTGAGAGTCATGATTAGGCCAGGCATCCACTGGAGGTTCAGCTCAGCAAATCCTCAAAGAAAACAGTGAGGTGGGACTTCAAACCAACCTTACAGACAAGAAAATGGAGCTAAAAACTATTTTATAACCAGAATGAAAACAAACAGACAAACAAACAAAACCCGAACTCCAAATAAAGAGGTCACATCTCTTAAATAGGCAAAACACTTCTTAAAAACCTAAAAGAGCTAGGTGTGGCAATAGGCGCCTTTAATCCCAGCATTTGGGAAACAGAAGCAAGCCTACCTCTGTGACTTTGAGGCCAGCCTGGTCTACATAGCAAGTTCTAGAGCAGCCAGGGCTACATAGTAAGACCCTATCTCAAATATATACATATAGATAATAGATATATACATAGTGTGTGTGTGTGTGTGTGTGTGTGTGTGTGTGTGTATGTGTGTGTGTATGTGTGTGTGATTTGCAAAATGTGAGGGAACAGCCAATTTTAATAGTTACGTACGGGCCAAGGATTTTGTGTACTCTACAAAAATCTTCGTCATCCCATTTTACAGACAGAACCCTGATTAACAGAGAAGTGCTCTGGCCTTCCACTCTTCCAGAACCACGCTGTGATGGGCAAGCAGACATTTAAACAATAGTTCTCTGAAAAAGGTACACAAGTCCAAAGGAATGCCCCCAATGTGGAGAATGTCAGGCTTCAGCCCTGGCTGTGGGCAGAGCTCTCTGGGCAAGAGCCTTTTGACACCACTGGGCATCACCCCTGGGCCTAACTCACAGAGGGCTCCGTTTGGTGGTTGGAAGTGCTGAGGGACAGGGGTAAAGATAAGGAAGATGGCTAGGCCAGAAATGGCTAGCCTTGGGCCAGGCTAAAAGGGGCACATTTGTAGGAGCGCTGGGAACCTATAATGTGGATGGCAGCAACAAAAGGGGCAGGACTTCCCCGAGGAAGGAGGAAGCAGGGTGCAAAAAGAGAGAGAAAGCAAGCCCTAGGTGACAGAGCCCTTGAGCAGGTGTCTAGCTCAGAGAAGGGTGGGGTGGGGGTGCTGGTGTGTCCGCCAAGACTGAGTGAGAGCCTGTAAAAAGGGAGGATGGACACGAGCCGTTCAAGTGTACCTGTGGGGAAGCTGTTTTAGTGAGAAGGCTCAAGGTGAGGTCAAGCACTGGGAAGGGGTGAGGAGACAGTGACATACTGAAACACCAACCAGGTTCTTCCCACAGGCCACAGCAGCTGCCAGGAGGTAGGAGGCCTTTTGCCTCAGGCTATCGCTGAGAGACTCCCAGAAGCCCGTCCAGCAGAGCCTGTATGTTAGGAAGAACAAGGAACCCTGCCAGTCTAAAAAAGAGGATGGAGGCACATGAGTGAAAGGCTGGCAAGCACTGGAGCAAGAGCACGTGCGTTTAGGAAGGAGGCGTTGTTAGTCCCATTTCTCAGATGCTCCAGGTCAGGTGACAAAGATGGAATTAGAACCCAGCTCTGACCAACTCCAGGGCTTTTGTCATTTTTAATTGGTCCTTATTCCCACAGATGATGTGACCTTGCTTGGCTTAAGGGTGAGAAAGGGAAGGGAAGGTGTCAAACAGCAGAGAAAAACCTGAAAAGATCCCCATGGGGCAAAGAAAATGGGTAGCAAGCACTTTCCTACTGACACGAGATGGCAGCGGAGTTTTGCAACGCTGATTTTTCTCTGGTTACCTAAAGAGACTTTTTAAATCAAAGTGCTGTGTTTCAACATTAACCACATCTGGGCTGAACTTCTGGGTCCCTCCACTTAATACTCAATGATGCTAAAGTGAATTCTCAATCTCTTGGGACTTCATTTGGCTCACCGACGTGATAAGCGCAGAAACAGCCCTACCTGGTTCAGTAGTTGGCAAGGATCAAAGACTTCTGGCACAGTGTGTCTGAAACACATTAAATGCCCCCTAGAAGGGGGTACGGTGGGTATGTGGGTACGGTGGCTCATGCCTGTAGCCCAGGCCTCCGGAGGCTGAAACCAGGCAGCTGAGAGTTTGAAGCCTGTCCGGGCTCCATAGTGAGACCCAGTCTCTGAATAAGTAGATAAAAACTAGCAAAAACCCCCTGATGCTGCTGTTTGACGTTCTCACTTCCAAGATGCCGCTCCTCCGTTTGCATCTCTCCCTAGGGCTGGAGAGCGCCTTTCATCAAGTGAGTCATTAGTTCCTCCGCACAAAATCTCTAGAGCTCAGGAAGACAACCATCTGCCTTCCAGTGGCCTGGCTTGCCTGGGATTGGCAGGGCCACCATCACAGCAGGGCCTGGTGGGTTTGTGGGCCGCTGGAAATGGCTGAACAAGTCTCCCACATGTAGCTGTGTTTTGTAAGTTAACTTTAGGGATGTGCATCAAAGCCTTCTACCCAAACCACAACTGAGCCTTGGAAAACCCGCCAACTATTAAATGGAATTTACCGCCGCTCAGGAATACCTCCCGCTGACTAGAGGGAGACAGATGAGTCTATGAAAGGTCAGGGTAGGCGACTTCCTCGCAGGACTGCTGACGATTCTTTTACCCCTTTGGTGAAGCCTATGGATTCTTTCTCAGGATGCTTTAACATGCAGAAAAGAAAACACATAATTGGACCACAAAGAAAACCAATATAAGTGAAATACAATTATTACAGCTTGAAAAACCAAGTGTGTAATACAGCAATATGTTTTACTTTATTAACACATTAATTAGACAGTTTAGAAGCTGATGTAGCAACTACTGGCATCTCACACAACCAAGGTAAATAATATTTCACAATAGCTATAGCAACTAAATTGCAATATGAAACGATCTATCATTTTTACTGGCGATTTTATTTTATATGAGTACTGAACATAAACTGTGGTTTGTTGCCAACACTAACAACTGAAAACAAAATGTCAAGCCAAGATGTCATCCTCCCCCACCCCCAATTCAAGTTCACAGACTCCTCTTAAATTCCGTAAATGGGAATTTGGGGTTGTGGGCCCCAGGAGAGTGGGAACCATGCTCTAGCTCACTCTTGCCTTTGAAGAGTCCTCACTACCCCCTTTCTGTCCCCAGAGCCCAGTTCTATAGATACAACCTTCTTGGCTGTCCCGTGCCTAGACTGCCTGACTCCTGCCAGGTCCTGGTAAAGAGAAGTCTTCAGTTCCCAGGAAGCAGGATCAGTGGCTGAGCCCCTCTCTGGCAGTCAGGGAAGGCCAGGCCAGGGGTGAGGTGCACAGTGCCCAAGCCCATGGTGGGTCCCGCATCACAGCATCACCTGTGTGGAGCCTGGGCTTAGATGACAGCACTGTCTCACCTAGCTCCTCCCTTCCTCCCTCGGAGCTATAGACATCTGCCTTCCAAGTCAGGACCGCTACCTCAGGGTGCTACCTCAGGGTAACAGCTCTCGGGTGCAGGAGGCTGCAGATAAACAAACCTGGGTAAGCTGCCAGGCTCACCCACACTGTGGACCAGCGAAGCCATTTGCTCCCTCTTCCCCTCCACATTCCTGCAGGCGGGTCATGACCTTTGACATTTACTTATTTATTTATTGAAAGATCTCATGAATGACATATGAAAACAATATGTTAAAATTCAAACACCAGGAGTGGATGTGAGGAGGGGAGAGGAGAGAAGAAGAGAGGGGAGGAGAGAAGAGAGAAGAGGAGGGAGGGAAACTGTGGTCAGGATGTAAAGCAAATAAATACATTAATGAACAAAAAAATTTTTAAATAATTCAAACTCTAGTAAGGTAAAGGCAGCCGCCATCAGGCTTGATGACCTAAGTTTACTATCCAGGACCAACATGATAGGAGGAAGAGCATGCCTTGTGCTAGTGAACACACACAACACACACATATACACACTTGCACATATGCACGCTGACTAACTGAATCAATTAAAACGCAGTAAAAAGTCAAACAGCAATGATCCTATCAGGAACGATGAGCCGTCCTCCCTCTGCTCATGGTTGGCATCGTAGCTGGAAAGCGTGGACCTGGTCCAAGTACAGTCACCTGCCACCCAGCTTGAAACTGTGTCTTTTAAACTTCTCCCCAAGACAACGGCGGCTACATACTCCAAGGGAGAAGGGAGTTGAGGCCGGAAACAGACAACGAGTGTAGTCCTTGGAAACTCTTGAGAGCCCCATTCGGTGTCTCGTGAGGAGCGGCTGATGCTTGTGCTCAGAACCGTTGCTGCCATAGAGCCACAGAAGGGAAGGGGCACCAAGGGCTACCCTCCACCCGTACGGAACAAATTCTCCCCCAAATGCCCTCTTGTCACTTGATGTCAGAGGCCCAGTCCAGAAACCAAAGGAAACTCAACAGACACAACATACACACACAAACACACACATAATGCACGCACACACTCACACACGTGATGTAGACTCACACATGCTCACACTTATGCACACTCACACACACTCACGTATAGAACTAGTAGTCAACAAGCTTTATTTAATTTTACGTAGGAAAAAATTAAGGAGGGTGTTCTGGGACTAGGAATTTTTGTTCTCCTCAACATTGCCTGTGCTCCCTGCACCCCCGCCAAAAAAAAAAGCCCTTTGTGGGCTAGAAGCAAACAATACAGTGGGGTTCTCCTAGGGGGAATCCAGTGGGTACTTCTCCTAGAAGCAGGAATACACTTCTTCAGGATCAGTGAGCTACTGCTGTCCGAGCATCGCATGAGCCCCACACACACTTAAAACCCTGGGACCACAGTTTCTGTACTGGGAAATGTGACAGGTGTGTTTTCAGAGCAGGGCCCCTCTTCTCTCTCACCTGTAGAGAGCGGAAGCCGTTCCCAGCAGGCCCGGCAGGAACCTTTCAGTGCAACCTTCACCGGGGAGGTTAGCATTGGAGGCACAGAGAAGTGAGGCCTGACCGTAAACCACGCACTGGTTAGCAGCGCGGCTGAGGCTCTCATTCCAGATTTCTTGGCCGTCAGGCCTCCTCCCTTGCACTCTACCACAAGAAGAGCACGAACACTTCTTCTGCCTGAGCTCCACGGCTAGACAGCTCTGCCCAATCCCAGCGTTGCTTCCAGGATCCGGAGCACAGCAGCTGACCTTTCTGCTGTTCCTTTCCTCGTCTGTGCACGGGAGATTTGGGGGAAACAACCTAAGAATGGCTGTGAGGGCTGAGGGTACCCGGTTGGGAATATATTTGCACTCTTTTTACATCTCGTGGCTCCTATCTCACACCCCAACTGGATGGATCTGCAACAGCTGTGCTGCATGACCCCTCCCCCAAATATATGTGAGAAACTTCTCAAATCCATTCACCCTGAAGAGAGCCCAGGCCCCCTTCCCCTTTTAGAAGACAGAACCCGAGCAAGGTCATTTTCCCCCTGGGTCTTATTCCTTTCTTTCCTTGAAGTGCTGAGAATGAACTCTGCAGGGCCAACCCTGAGATCTGGGTTTTACAAAGAAGCATAGTTTTGGATCCAGAAGAACCATCTATTCCCCACCTCGGTATGAAACAGTGACGTTGCCTCTTCCTTCTGCTACACAGCAGAACTCTATGCCCTGCATACACCCTCAGGGGCTGGAACCAGCATAGTACCGGGCACGTAACAGAAGCACCATGCGGTCTTGACGGCCGAATCAAACAAAAGAAGATGCACACAGGAATGAGGAAGCCTGCAGCAGGTGTCTGGTTGCAAAATGCATGGCGCGGCAGGCAAGACTCCAGCGGCAGCAAGCCAGAACCCCATCATCCCCTTCTTTTTAGCCTGCTCTGTGGAGAAGAAGCCTTCAACGAGGCCAACATCTGAGCCTCTGCCCTCGTTGCCTGGCCCATTAGACCCAATCCAGAGCTCAGAAAATACCTGAAGTAAGCATGCTTCTCCAGCTGAAACACGTAACAACGAACACTGTGGGGCAGGGGAGGCAAACAGGGCAGGGAGATGGCTCATCCGTCTTCTTAATTGTCAACTCTGCCCTTAATAAGATCCTCCTCCCCCCGCCCACCCCGTTCTACCTTAGGCTCATGCTGAACTGAGACAGACCAAGATTTCCATCTTGTAGTCATGAATACTGGCGATGAAACAGACTGCTGCGTGGCTCAGTGGAGCTCAAAGTCCCAGAAGGAGCCTGAGCCTGGGAGTCAGTGGCTTGGAATCTTTGCTCTTCACTGGCTGTGGCAGCTCAGCGGTTACTACACTTCTCTGACCTCCGTTTCCTGGAAAATTACAGCCCAAGGTTTGGGAAAGGGGGTGAAGCACTGGAGAACTATACGCATAGCGTTGTAAAGTTACACGCGCTGGAGAGGAGAAGCCACCGTTTTTTCATCGGGTCCCCAAAGATTTGTGTATGTTACCCCTCCCCAGTAAGGTGAAGAGATGTGAGATGCCTTCCATCCCCCAGGTCACCCATTGTGTTCTTGCTCTGTGCCAGACACTTGAGACTCAAATAGGACAGGAGAGTCCTGCTTAAGGGGGTACTCGGTACCACTGGTGCTCTTCACTACAGGAATATGCCCCGGGGCCATTGGCAACGAAGAGAAGGAAGCATTTAATTCACATGGCTAAGAAAGGCCTTCTATGGAGAAGCTTAAGCTTAATTTGTCGAAACTGATGGCAGCTCATGCATTCAGTGGGTGAGTGGGTGGAGAGTATTTTAGACAGAACACCGGGTGAAAAGGCGACACGTGGTCCAGGAACTGCCTCAGTTGTAATTGGGATTGAAACCCAGCAGTCGCAGAAGGCCGGGGAGTGGTAGAAGGCAGGCATTAGGCTAGAGAGGTTGGCAGGGGCCAGGTCAGGTGATGGCATGTGGGCACCTCCATCCGAGCCCCACTCCCTCCCTCTTCCCTGCCACATGGGTCTAATTGCCCAGAACGGGGTGAGCCGCCACTTCCAGCTTGTATTTCCTTGAATGCTGAGCAAAGGCGTTTGCAGGCTGCAAGCTGAATGTGACAGCAAGAAGTAGCACGGGAAAGAAGCCTTGCTCTGAACCCCACGGACTGTAGCAAAGGTATAGGTAGAAAGCTTCTGTCAAACTGTCATTCTCCCCTGGCTCCCCTGTACACTTGACCTAGCCAGGGGCCTCTAAGAGTCCAGCATCATGGCTGAGAAAGGAAGACACACTGATGAGTCTGCAGAGTTAAGGGGCATGGCCACTGGGCCCTTGGTCCTCACTCAGAACACAAAGGCTTTCAGTTCCTGCACAGGACTCAGAGCCCTTTCACAGGCTGCTTCCGCCGGAAAGTCTACCCACGCTCTAACCGGTCAGCTTTTGGTCTTCAGACTCAACCTATCACCAGTTCTCAGGGAACCCAAGTCTGGTATCAAAGAACTCAGCTATGCAGAATTCTCCACCCCAGGGCTGTGCTTTGCCTCCAGCTTGTCCTGGACCGCAAGCTCCTTGAGGCCAGTTGTTTATCACCTTTGCATCTAAAAATCTCGCCTGATGCCTGGTTCTGAACTTTTGGGCTTTTCATCTGGACCTTGCACCATGCCCAGGACTCATTGTCCCTGGAACACATTATGGCCCCTTGAGGTAGGAGGCTGGACTTTAAAGACAATGTCAGAGCCGACTCTACTTCTGCTTCCGTGGGTAGCAACATGCTTTTCTGTGCCCTCTCTTGCGAGGCTGAGGAACCCAGTTTGGTTTGCTCAGCTAGGTCCTTCGGGATTGCACTTTAAACTAGAGATGCCTCCACCCGTGGCCCTCTTTGGTACGTTAAGACTTTGCACAAGCCTCAGAGGTCAACTCCGAACTGGAATTATCTCTCTCCTAAAAACGTCCATCCTCATCCTACAAGTCTGCGTCCCAGGGTGCTTGGGAAGGAGTAGACTGGATTTCTGCAGCCCAGGCTAGTGCGCAGGGTGAGAGTCGGTTCCAGCCAGGTAGAGAACTCATGGACTTTCCAGCTCCCGCCTGTAACCGGCTAGTCCGCAGCGACAAAGTGCTAGGGTCAAAGATTTGACCTTAAAAGATATGGGAAGGGGAGGAGGGGCTAACCAAGAGGCACGCGGGCTTGGCAAAGTACCCCCAGCCAGCGCCTACCACTCCGGCGCCTAGCACAAGGATCCTGGGTGGCCCTCCCTCTGCCCAAGGTCGCATCCCATCGTGGCTCTAGAAACTTCACCCAGGATGAGAGGGGCGCGGGCTGGGAACCCGGCGCAATGTTTTTCAAAAGGAAAGAGGCTCGGCGATTTGCAGGTAGTCCCGGAAGCCAGCCAGGAGGAGCCCCCCAGCCCCGCAAGCCGCGTCCAGGACCGCAGCGTCTTCCTGAGGACAGCTGCGAGGGTCTGCGCTACCCGGAGTCTCAAGGACGACGCGGTCCCCTCTCCGCGGTCCCTTCCGTCCCCAGATCTGGGAAGCAAGAGCAGCTACCCTCCCACCCGGTCTCCGACTCTCCGGACACTCTCCGGCTCGGGCTGCGGCAGCCTCTGCGGGGACGCGGCGCTAGCAGGGGTCGCGGCGGGAGGGCGCGGGCTGGGTGGCGCGGGGCGGGTGCCCGGGGCCAGGGGGCGCTAGGCCGCTTACCTGGGCGAGCCGCAGGGTTCCGGCTGGGGCGGGGGCGGGGGGGGGCAGCGCGGACGCCCACCCGGCTCCGGGGTGCACGCAGCTGCGGCGGCCGCACGGTCCTCCGGGGCACGGTCCTCCCTCCTCTGCACGGTCCGCGTCCTGGCACGCACCGCGCGCCGCCGCACCCTGCTGTCCGGGGCGCGCACACCCTCCGGTCGGCGGGCTGGGCCTGGAGCAGGGGCGCCCTCGCTGCGGGCACACCCACCGCGCCGGCTGCGGGACTGCGAGCGCGGGAGCCGGATCCTGGCGGCCGCCACCCGAGTCTCCGCCTCCCTGACGCGGCGCGGGCTCTGGTGTGTAGGAAGGGGCAGAATTGCGACACCGAGGGGAGGGTCTTAGCCTTGGACAGAGTTAAGAAGGAAAACTTTTTGAAGAGAGACCAGAAGAGTCCTGGCCTATATAAGGCGCTTTCCAGATTTCCCCAGGACTCCCACGTGCGTTTTCTCCAAGTTCGTCTAGACGTTTCCGTCCCCACGAGGATGAAGAGACAGGATCAGACAGGATAATAACTGCCCGAGTCAGGATTCGAACCAAGGCCTGACAACTGAGGTCCTGGGAGCAGAGAGGTCCTAGCAGCGGGCTGGTAGTGTGAGGATCATCTAAGAGAGTACTGTCTCCTAAGTCGGTTCCTTTTCAGTTTCCCTCCCAAATCAATGCTGCAGCTCTACTAAAACAAACAAACAAACAAACTTCTCAGTCTTTCTCTTCATATACCCACCTCAGCGACAGCTTTTTTATTTTGTTTTGTTTTTGTTTTTGTTTAGTTTAGTTTTGCTTTGTTTTGTTGTTTTTCGAGACAGGGTCTTTCTGCGTAGCGTTGGCTGTCCTGAACTCCCTTTATAGACCAGGCTAGCCTCGGCCTCACTGACACCCGCCTGCCTCTGCCTCCCTGAGGGCTGGGATTTCAGGCGAGCACTACCGCGGCTCAGCTTCCTCCGCAGCTTTGTGGAGGAATTCAGAGTCACTTCCCTTGAACGGAAAAGACGGCTAAGGTTCACTTCGGGCACTAACCCTGCTCCTTGCAGAGAGGACCGACAGAAGGGACCGAAGGATACGGCAGCCAGCGAGTCTCCAAGCCCAGCTGTGACCCACTGGGCCCACCTTCCTAGCGCCCACACCTAGGAAGCAACCCATAGAGTCTTATTTTTGACATTGTGACCCAGATGGGATAGATAATTTGAGTCAAGGGACATTTAATTTCCGTTTCTACAGGAATGTAGTTATTAAGATGACTTCATTTCCACGAAGCTTCCACGGCAGCGGCAATAAATGGGAATTTAACCACACTGCTGGGTCCCAAAAAGGAGTTGGGGGCGGGGCTGCGGCCCAGAGAAAACAGCCCCAGACTCTTCCTACTAAGGCCTGGTTGGTTGTTGTCATCCAGGGAACGGAGCTAATACGACCTGAGCGCCTCATTTTCCCCAGAGAAGCGAGAAACCTAGATACTCGATTTTTTTATTTTTTTATTTTTTTATTTTTTTTTATTTTTTTTGACTGCTCGTTTGAAAAATGCTAAGCCGGGGGCTGAAGAGCTGGGCCAGCACTTTGGAGCATGTGCTGCCGTTGCAGAGGGCCCGGGTTGGATTCTCAGCATTTGGCATGATGGCTCACCACTGGTAGGTTCAGCGTCAGCGTACCGTACCCCTCTTCTCGCCTCCCGGTTCACCAGGCATGTAAGTATGTGGAGCATAAACACACAGGGCACATGCTTAAACCAGTTTAAGCTCCTGAACTTGTGCTCCACAAGGTTTTGTTTGGCCTCTCAGACTCCTTGTGCAGTAGACCCAGGGCAGATCACGTTTTCCTTCTGAGGGAACACGCGGCTGCTCTGGGTGTGTTCCGTGACTAGCCCAAGGTCACACAAGTTCCTTGGTTGAGCTGGAACGGGCACCCCAGGCGTTCTAAGACTCAGTCTTGGAAACCCTTCTGCCCTCTCAGATACCTCGAAGAATTTGTTCCTTGATTTCTGGGCATGGTGAGCCTAATTAGGCATGGGGCTGGCACTGGGGTGAGGAGGCACAGCACCTCTCCTGAGAAGATGGAGGGCAGTGCCAGACTGCCGTCCTCGAAAGCAGCTCAGGCTGATGACTCAGAAGTGGAACTGTATCTCCAGGGTTGAGCTGAGTCAGAGGAATCACAGTCTGAACTGGGGCAGCCGGGGCTCCTGAGACCCAGGCCAATGCACCAAGAAAGGAGGGAGGAAATACACTGAGCAAACCCCGCCCCCATGTACCTCCCAAGCCCACCCCTGCCCCCCACGACATGCAGAAGCCACAGGCACAGAAAAGAAGCCCCAGCTAGGACAGGAGCTGTTTCCTATTATGGCAGGAAAGAGTTAGACTAGAAAAAGGACCCTTGCAGGGTCCTGGAAGAAAGAGATCTCTCCCGGGAAGCAGATCTTCTAGAACTTCAGGTTTGGACACCTCCACTGCAAACCAGACGAACCTCTCAGACAGTGAGCATCCTTGCTGAAAGCTGATGTGGGATGACTGGGCCCAGCACTGCCGCAGGACCCAGTGCAGAAAGAATGGAGGGCTCTCCTCCCTGACTCACTCCTTGCTGGAGTGTGGAGTTCAGGAGGGTGAGTGCGCCTCTGTTGTCTGCCCTGCGCCACTCACCAGGATGGGGATTTCCTCACCATATCTCACTGGCATCCTCACCATATCTACAAAATGGCTGTCACCCTCTTGCTGAGGGTGATGAGGCAAAAGCAGGAAGGTGGGTTCACCCTTGGGCCTCGGTGACTTTTTCAGACCGGAGGATACCACATTCAGGTCTCGCTGCAAGAGAGGACTGCAGACAGCAGACCCACATGTGGTAACTCCTACAGTCCCTGGGGTGCTGGCAACAACTAAGAACCGGCTTTCGGGGGGGGGGGTTGCATACATAGGTCCTCCTTTTTCATCCTGTAAAGCCTGCACATAGATTCAAACACTGAAATAACAAATAATGAGTCGCTGATCTTAGAGGAATGCAAAGGCAGGCTCTGGTAGGCCTCTGCTCATGTTTTCATCAACCCTCCAATGTAGGCAGCAATCTCCCCTCCTCCACAGGCCATCCCAAGACCCTCTCGAGGATGCCTTGGTTAACACAGAATCCTACGGATATCACCTTTTTTTTTTTTTTTTTTCTGTTTCTACAGATCTCCAGTCGAGTTTAATTTATACACCAGGCACAGAATGGACACTGATAATAAAATAGAATGGGCATAACAACAGAATGAGTAGTACGTGAATTCAATCTCTCCCTCTCTCAAAACATTTCCGTGTACTGTACTCACCCTACAAATGAAAGATATGAGATTAAGTAGGCATGGGACGTCAGTGTTGGGTCTCACAGAAATGCTATTCTAATGACCACGGGGCTACTGAGGACTAGGTAAGGGAGACAGTGTGGATATGCCAGACACTGGCATTATTCTCATACAGAGTGGGGTTGCGGTCAGCTCAGCAAGTCCTCATGCAGTTCAGACTGGGACTCAACTTAAAAGTGATGGATTGTTTGTTTCTAGAACTTCCCCCCAAATTTAATATTTTGGGGCTTTGGCTAATAAAGGGTAATAAAGGCTAATAAAGGAAAGCAAAGGCAAGGGGGAATGCACTACATTTGTTTTACAGGACTTTCTCTCTAAGGACCCCTTTTTCAGTGTTCGTTGTTGACTTGTTTGCTGTCAACAACCTGCGGCTGTCAAGTGCTAGAACACACGAAGCACAGCTTATGTACATGCTTTCTTCATGACACAAACTACTTGGGCTTATGAACACCAGCCAAGACTCGAACACCAGGTTTGGGGACTACTTTAAACAGCGAAAACAACAACAACAACAAAACCCCAATGGTTTGAAAACTTGAGCTTGGGATAAGCCAGGAGCAGACTTCGTGTGTGTGTGTGTGTGTGTGTGTGTGTGTGTGTGTGTGTGTGTGTGAGACGCAGAAGAGGGGGAGCTCACG